AAGGAGAGACCAGGGAGGAGGAGGAGGAGGAGGAGGAGGAGGAGGAGACACGTACCTGCGCGTGTCCGTACTTCGGATGCTCCCTCGCGCGCGCCTGTATGGCTAGCAGCAGGAAGGAGGAGGAGGAGGAGGAGGAGGAGGAGGAGGAGGAGGAGGAGACACGTACCTGTGCGTGTCCGTACGTGGGAGGCTCCCCCGCGCGCGCCTGTATGGCTAGCAGCAGGAAGGAGAGACCAGGGAGGAGGAGGAGGAGGAGGAGGAGGAGGAGGAGGAGGAGGAGGAGACACGTACCTGTGCGTGTCCGTACGTGGGAGGCTCCCCCGCGCGCGCCTGTATGGCTAGCAGCAGGAAGGCGTCTTCCTCGCGATCCAGAGCGCGAGCGGAGCTGATCTCTCCTGTCTGCGCGTCGATCGCGAAGTAGCGACCCGGGTCGCCCGACGAGATCGAGTAGTGCACGGCAGCGCCACCTGTTGGGTAACGAGGAAAGACAGTGGCGTCGTGAGAGTTCTGGACGCTGAAGTTCCATGCTACTTACAAGTAACTAATGCACTCGGCCCCAGAATACTTTATACGACCCTAATCAGATCGTATCCCTATCCCATCCTACTCTGCCCATCCAACCCTATCCTGGCCCGCGTTGCCCCCTACCAACCCTTACCTCCACCCTACCCTCACCTCTATCCCACCCTTACCTCCACCCTACCCTCACCTCTATCCCACCCTTACCTCCACCCTACCCTCACCTCTATCCCACCCTTACCTTTATCCCATCTTACCTCCACTCCCGAACCGTCTTATTCCCTATGCCCACCTACCCGCGTAACCACCTCACCTACACTTATTCCCCGTCTATCCCCACCCTAACCCGCCTAACACACCACACTACCTACACTGTATCCCTTAATTCCCCCACGACCTACTGTGCTTACACCCGCCTACCTACACTGTGAGTCGGCCTATCCACCGCCTTACCCGCTACACCCCCTACCTACACTTATCCCTATCCCACCCTACCCGCTACACCCCCTACCTACACTTATCCCTATCCCCTTCTACCCCTATCTCACCCGCTCCCCAGCGAGGAAACGATGACTCACCCTCGGCGTGCACGAAGCCGACTCTGCTGCCGACCGCGTAGTCCTCCGGGATGCTGAACCCGTAGAACGGCTGCCGGAAGACGGGAGGCTTCTGGTTGCCGGCGACGACGCTCACCGTGACGACGGCGGGTGCGGCGGCTGCGCGCCCGCCTCCGTCCGTCGCCGTGACGGTGATCACATGTCGGTTCGTCCGCGTGGCTTCCAGCTTCTTCGCCAAGGTCACGGCACCTGAGCGGAGACAGAGAGGCAGACGAACACGAGGTTAATTATAATAACGAATTACTTTTAGCAGTGTAAATTTATATGTATACTGTGTGAATTTATGCATGTAGGCTGAGGCTAATAGGATATATATCTCTATCTATTAACAAGTAAAATCGTTGTACAAATATTAAGATATTGATGTTATATTATTATTAGATTTATTAAGATATTGATATAATTATTATTGTTATTGGCATTACTTTTACTAATATTGTTATTATTATTACTTATATGAATACGCATTATCATGCTGCCCAAAGCAGCAGCAGGCTGCATAAAATGAATTGGCGCACACAGCACATAACACGATCACGACCACAAAAAAACATTTCAAAAACAAACAAAAACAACAACAACGCGCAGTGCTTAAACCCCCCCTCCCCTTCCCCACACACACGCGCGCTAAAACGCACCTATAAAACC